CTCCTCCGCCGCGTCGTTTCGCCACCAACGGATTCTCCGAGGAGAAAGGCGAGGCCGAGGCGCCCTTCCTGTCCCACGCCGGCTCCCTCCTCTCCCTCCACGTGGATTTGGGGCCCTCGATTTTGGAGGACGTCCTTCAGGTGATGGAGAAGCACCAAGGGGGCGGATCTAGACAGGATTCGGGCAGGCCTGAAATCTTGACGTGAAAAAAAAAAAACAAACCAAAAACACTCGAGGTAAAGACGCTGAGAAATAAATTATTGTTATTATTATTATTAATAATTTTGGGGCTTTTATTTGAAATTTTCTTTTCCCCAAGAATTTCTTAAATTACAGCTCGATTCCCTGAAATTACAGCTCGAAAGCGCTCGACGTCGACCCGAGGCCATCGAGGCCATTGCTCGCTGCCGGATTTTCCCCCGCGTCGACTCCATCTTTAGCGCCGGATCGAGGCGCAGGACTGCGCCGATTGGTGGAAAACGAGACACCGCGACGCTGCAAGCGGTTGTCGTGCGGGTTGGGGTGACACGGCGACGGTCGAAGTCCCAAATTTGGGGGTTTTGGGGTGTTTTAATGAAGAGTGGTTGCTTTTTGCACAGCGGAGGCGAAGGGGGTGATGTTTGCCGTCGGCCGAGTGCCCGCATCATCGCGGTGATGTCGAAAGTCAGATTTAATTGTATAAAAATCTCAAAAATGAGGAAATTTCGCGGCAAAAATCTCTGAATATTGCGTTGAAGAAGCTAAAATCTTAAAAAAAAACCCTTTTAGGCTGGGTTTTGGCAACTTCAGTCCACGGCTGGAGCTTGGGGATGGGATTTAAAGTCGTCAATATGATAAAAAAAGGAAAGATTAAATATATTAAGGGGAGGGCGAGCGAGGGCTCGGCCAAATTCCTGCGCCTTGGGGTGAAATTCGCGCTCCCGGAAGTCGCCGTCTCCGTCAATCGCAGATTTGATTCGGCCGGGGTGAAACGGCTTCGGCTCGCAGAGGGGGGGGGGAATTCCTGCGGGGGTTGTTTTTTTTTTTAATAATTGCGGGGTTTGTTTTTTTTTTAAATAATCATGAAAAATTTGCTAGAAATGCCAGTTCTGCTGACACACAATTGGTGTTTTGGTAAAAAACGCCCCAAAATTGAAGATTAACCCAATTTTTCGAGCCTTCGATCTGCAAAATAATTAAGAAAATGAGGTTAATTGAGCTCGATCCAAGCAGCTGCTGGGTTTAATTTGTATTTTATTTGCTATATTGTTATAATTCAGTCCTTACCTGGTCTAAACTTCCTCCCAACACCACCCATCCACGCTGCGACGCCTTACTTTTATTTATTTCAGGATTTTATTTTATTTCTTTAGGAATTTTCTTACCCAAAAGAATCCCAGCGATGGCATCTGGGGCATTTTTAGAGCCTAATTTGTAATTATTTTACCCTAAACCGCCGTAGTTTGATGGGAAACGTGCCTCAGTTTCCCACCTTCCTTTTATTTGCTGACAGGCCGCAGTTGGGTCAAACAAATTAAATGAAAAAAAGGGTCTGGAATTGCTGATTTGGGGCAGATTTTAGAGCTTTTTGCTGGGTTTTTGTGTCCCTGTGGGTTGCGGCGACGCGGTGGCGCTCGTTTTCGAGGCTTTCACCTTAATTACCGAATTAAATTGAGTTGAGGAAGAAGAAATTGGAGTTTTGCCCCCTACTTCTGCCCAATTCTCGTCAGCAGTGCCAAAACCTCGCGGATTTGGGCGACGGCTTCCCCGCGTTTCGAAATAACGGCCACAAAGACGCTTCAATTTGCTGGATTTGGGGGTTTTTCTACCATAAAGAAGTTTGCAACACCCCTCCTCGCTCCCCTCTGCCCTCTCTGATAATATTTGATATAAACCCCTTGAAATCCCATTCTTTCTCAATTTTTTTCTGGGCATAATCACTTTTTAGCTGTAAAAAATAAGAAATCCTTAATTAATTTTTAGCTAAAAATCGTTTGGGATTTCTGCACAGGATGGGGGTTTCCTTCCCTCATTAATTCCTCGTTCACGCAAGCGGCTGTTGCGAAACCCCAGCGTTTTTTTTGTTGTTGTTATGGCCTGTTCTAAGAAATGTGAGTCACCGGGGTGTGACTCACAGCCGGTGCCAAGAAACCTCTTTTCCCCCTCGCTTCATTTTCGGGAAGATTGAAGGCGGAATAAATCAACGAGGGGGTTTCTGAATCCCTAGGTGTCCACAGGCTCTTTTCAACCCTACCGACCCCGTCATTTCTTCGTTATCCCAAGATTTCCGGCCGGGATTTAACGCCGCGGGCGACTCGGCCGACGCCTCCGCTCCTCGGCGTTGTGACCCCCCGCGCGGCCGTTAAGCGCGCTGATTTTTATTGACGGGGGCGGGAAAAGAACGCGGCGAAAGTAACAGGATTACGGGGAGGAGGAAGGGCAGAGAGAAAGGTTTAACCTCCGATGTACTGAGAAAATCGAATTCCCAGCGTATGGGGGGAAAAGAAAACCCACGAAACTAAAGATAAAACTGGAAGGAAGAAGTTGAAATACAGAGGAATTCACCCGGTCCTTGATTTAGGATAAACCACGCTTGGTATTGGGGGGAGGGGGCAACTTTGCGCCTGCTTCTCTGCCCTGTGGGGTGAATTCTGAGGGGTTGGGGTTTTTTTGTTAATTTATGGTTAAAACTGTAAGTTTTCTACAGGAAGTTGTAAGGAGAAAGAGGCCGGAGGGGGTTGCTCTGGGTTTGGGGGGGCATGGCTGTTGCGCTGAAACCATAAATTCCCGTAGGGAATCTCTGTGGAAGTTTGGGACTTCATTTCTTCCTCCTTCATCCCCGCCCCCATCCCGACGTCCTTCATCCCTCCCCGTTGCCCTCACCCCCTTTTCCTCCTCTCCCTGCTCCGTTCTTGCCCCTTTTCCTTCACCTCAGCTCTTTCCTCTTCCACATTTCCCTCCCCCAGCCTCCATTTTTGCCCCTCGCTCTTCCTCCCCGCCACCCTTCGTCCACCCTACCCCGTTTTCCTCCTTTTGTTAAGGTCGTTAATTGCTAAGGTTGAAAAAAGACCTCAAAGATCCCAAATTCAACCACCAACCCAACCCCGCCACGTCCCAAAGCGCCGCATCCACGCATTTTTTTCCACACAGAATCACAGAAT